CCCCAAAACCCCAAAACCCCAAAACCCCAAAACCCCAAAACCCCGAACTAAATATTTGGGATTGAAAATTTTAATGGTAACTATTCAAAATCTGTATATAAAAATTCGTATTTCCACTTCTGAGATAGCCTAAGCATATCTAGAACACACTTGAAGGTGCTCTTCTCGGTTCTGATCCAGCCTATCTCATGGAGTCTGAGGACTATCTCCATTCCATCCTTGAAGACGTTTGCGAGGTTGATATTATTTAGCTTAGCAATTTTCTCCATTGAAATCTTTTCTGAAATTATCTGTGGACCTATCTTCTCTTTCGCTGAAGTGCAAGTCTTATTGAATATATTTGAGTTTGACTCTATTGTCCGGAATCTGAGGTTGTAATGACTATCAAGTGTAAAGCTACACTCGAAGAACTCAAAACAGCCGAAAACTGGAGTGATATGTCACTTCATTTCCATCATTAGAAGTCGTGAAAACTCTTTTATTTCGGTCAATACTTTTTCGCAAGTTTCTTCTTCATCTGCTCCTGTTACTTCATAAGGGAGCTCTGTTGATTTCATACTGGCTGCTGCTTCTCGCTCTGAGATGAACTGCTTTATGTCTTCTTTGCATTTTTCAGAGTGGATGATGGATAGGTACGGCTTCACGCTAGCTACCAACAAATGAACCGTCAACACTATTTGTGGTAAATCATTATCAAGTTCTTTCTTAACAATAACTTTCTGGGACAAGCTTGAAGCGGCTCTCTTCAAGCCTCTTCATTTTGTATGCAAGAGGTTTGGAAGGTTCGGGTTCAAAGTCGGGTCAGGGTCTGGATCAAGGATAGTCCTTCCTTTCTTGCTACCAGATTTACCCGGAGACTTAATTTTAGCCTCTTCATCTGTATCTTCATCACTGCTGATTTCATGTTTCTCTAACTTCCTGATTCAAAGAATTTTATGTTTAAATTTCATCACATCTGGGACCTCGAGAGGAGGGTTCTCTTCACAATAATTTCCATTGATTACCTCCCAGAGACCATTATTTTCACAGTTAAGGAACTGCCAGAGATCAGGGATTGAATCCAAGATGTACATTTCAGGTATCATTTCATCAAGGTTGATGAAGGTATCCAAGTACCCTAATTGCATAGATATTTTCAAGTTTTCTCACACCTTTGCCATATTTTTAGCCATATTTAATCTGTACAAAGTTGGGATCTTGTTGACCATATGAAATCCAATTTTAAACCGCGCATAGTCAATCTCGTTGAGGTTAACTACAAAAGCAAGCCTTGCTCTGTAACTCCACTTGTCATTCATGTCGGTTTCGTAAAAACCTTTCTTCTTTAGATATGCAATGATCGGTTTTGTTTGGTATCTCTCGTTAATGAAATAGCATAATTCATTCTTAGCCATACTTTCAATATAGTCCTCAAGAGGGATGTCGTTCAGCTGGCTTCTTTCCTGCTCTTTCTTCTTATTTACGATGAATCTTGACATAATAAGCGCTGTTATTTATTAGTCGTCCACTTGTGGTCAGGGCACCAAGATTTACAGATTCCATCAAGCCAAGTATCAAGTGATCTATAATGAAGGACAGTATTGTAGAATCTCTTTGAAACAAATTTGAAATGGTCATACTGCTTGACAACTCCTCCTTTCCTTCGAGCACCAATAGATTCCTTTCCAGAGTCTCCACCAACAAAGATTTCTACATGGACCATCTCATGGGCATGTACTTTCGCATCTTTTGAATATAACTTCGCTGAATAAAAGATAATATCGCCTGGTCTTAGCTCTTCCTCATCAAGGACAATAGGAAGGGTATCGACTTGATACCCCTGGTTCCACCAGCCGATATCAAATCCGAGCTCTTCCTTCAGATCTATACAGGCTCTTCGAGTGACACCGCAGCAGTCTATATAGAAGGGGTAGTAGTACTCTTTGTCTTTTGGACTATAGCAACTTTTATTTATAAGGAATCCCCAAATATTTCTTCACAGTGGTCAGATACTTATACCTCAACTTCTCCCTTATAACCTTATTCTTCCGGTTAAGCTTGACTGGAAAGTCAAGCTTAGCTTGACTAGAAGTCAGGCTCACAAAATGAGCATTCTTAGAAGTAGTTTTTGACCTTACAAATGGCTTAGTCGCTTTTTGGGGTAAATTCGACAAGTTCCTCACTTGTGACTTATTCTGGGAGCTACCCGCTGGTTTCCTTACAAAAGATGTTGATTTTAGCTTAGACTTCTTCGTGCTCTTTGAATTCTTCTCCATTAGGGATGAAAAAAAATTATTTTCAATTTAACTGTTTTTTAAGGGGTTTTGGGGTTTTGGGGTTTTGGGGTTTTGGGG